GTATCTATTCAAATTTTTAATAAGGTTCCAATTCGATTCGGAAAATATTTTTTTCAGTGGGGCATATCGATTTTCTAGGAGGTAACAAAAATTGGCTGGATAGTTGTTCTGTCTTTAGAAGGACTATTGATGACGACAATCTGATGAACTCTAGATGATGAGTAACATCCTAAAACTTTACGAAAGATTATTTTTTAAGGTTTTAATTCAATTATGAACAACAAAACATCTACATAAAACTGAAGTCCAGTCTACGATAACCACATTCAGTCAGTCAGTCAGTTCTAACGTATAACTTCCTACGTAAGTACATCAGTCAGTTCATGTTGCCAGACCACATCAGCACAGAGATCTAATTGTCAATTCAAATCCAATAGTAGAAGAGGTAGTAAACGTATTAGAAGTAATCGGAGAGGTTAGGATTAGAAGATATTATTCAAGAAGTATGATTCAATGACAAAAGTATAGGTGTTGAAGAATCGAGAAGATTAGGATTTGAGAGAACACAAAGAATGAATGCACTGGCGCCATTGCGAACGATTTTGAGCCATGTCATTCAGGGTCTCTAACAATCGATTATTATCATCTCACGGACCCCAACCAGGTAATCGACAACTACCGACATGACTCAGTCCACTTGTCAATGACTTCATGCATTTCTGCCATGTTTTGGTCTGGCCGCCCCTAGCTTTCTTTCAACCTATTCCTAAACTACAAATCAAAGCTCTTCGAGGCATTCGGTGGTTAGGCATACGCAAAACATGTCCCAGCCACCTCAACTGATAAAGTTTCATTACTTCATCTATTGATCTGCCATTCTTACATAGCGCCCGTTTCCTAATAACAGCGTTGCTGACTTGGTTGTCTCACGATATACGAGCAATGCTTCGAAGACACCTATGATCGAAAACCAGTAACCTACGAATATCTTCTACTCTCACTGACCATGTTTCACAGCCATAAAGTAAGACGGAGCGAACTGCTGCACAGTACACTCGTCCTTTAGTCAGCAAACGGATATCTCGCCTACTCCATAGAAGTACTAATACATAAAGTCAATCAGTATGTAACAACAAAGAACCTCGTACGTACATATATCAGTTCTCGTTGTCATACCACATTACCACAGAGAGGCAATTTTCAATTCACAGCCCATAGTAGTTGAGGTAGTAGAAGTATTAGCAGTAATCGGAGAGATTAGGGTTCGAAGTTATGATTCAAGAAGTATAATTCACTGAAATAAATTTAATAAGAGAAAGATAGAAGTGTTGAAGAATTCAGAAGTTTACAATTTGAGAGAAGACAAAGAATGCATCTGAGCCATTGCAAATGATTTTGAGCCATGTCGCTGTAGGTCTCCAACCATCCTTTCCTATACCCTCTCCCACACCAAGCTGGTAGTTTACACCTACTAACATGACTAAGTCCATTTGTCAGTGACTTCATAGATTTGTGCCATGTTTCGGCCTGGTTGCTCCCAACTTTCTTCCAGCCTACACTTACATCTCAAACCATAGCTCGTCAAGGCAGTCAGAGGATGCTTGCTGGGTGATCCCAGTATATACGAGCAATGCTTCGAGGACACGGGGTATGTTTCACAGCGATATAAGTAGGATGCAGCGAACTGATTTGCAGAAAACTCATCCTTAGTTTAACGAACAAATATCTCACCTATGCCATAAGTGATACAAGTTGGCAAAAGCCAATCAAACCTTTTTTATCCTTGCTAAGAATTCGTTATTGATCAGACTATCAGCACTAATGCGATTCCCAATATAATCAAATCGGTCAAAACCCTTAACTACTTCGCTTCCTATCACTCCTGACCGTAGCTGCGACCTTGACATGTGGTGGACGGGCTTGCCTATCGTCATGACCCAACCGAGCTATACTGGCTGGAACATATGTTCCTGCAGGTCCTACCATGCCAGGCAGGTCGATTGGAGGACGATAAGACTAAAAGCAACTACTCAACGTCTGAGGGCGAAGTCGTAATGCTGACTGAATGTGGAGAGGTGTGACAGCAGTAAGGTGTTTTCTTCGGACAACCAGCATCTGTAACGATGCTGCCTTCTCACAAGGAAGGAAGGGTTAGAAAATGTCGACCCTAAAAATGTCATACCTCACCCTAACTCAAGGATTTCCGCCTCCGTCGGTAAGGGTGGCTACTAAGAGCCTTCACTAGCGGAGCTAATACTAAAAACACATTTCATAAAAAGGCCGTGCGTGACCGGCCTCAAGCAGTTGTCCCTTGGACTCTGTGGTCACGCTCCCAGGTCTCTAAGACCAACACTAACCTATATTCCTTTTCAGGTCCCTCACGAAACAACCTTCCACGGTTTGGGCAGCCGGGAAGTGACAACCGCCTTCATACCTGTAACGGCACACGAGACCAAATTGATCAAAATCAAATCCTTATCTTGTGGAATCTTCAACCCCTCTAGTTTTGACTTTTCTCATTGAATTATACTTCTTGAATAATATCTTCTAATCGTAACCTCTCCGATTACTTCTAATACGTTTACTACCTCTTCTACTATTGGATTCGAAT